AATATTACTTTGCATGATAGATAGGCAACATGCGATAAGAAAAAAAGATATGAGAAAGACATTGCTTTACAAACCTTAAGACTTAATAAAAAAATCTGATATTTTGTGTATGAAAGCATTGTAATGTTTACTGATAATATGAAATATTTTGTTAACATTTGCTAGCTAATTTAAAAATTATAACATGAAAACTAACAAGCACAAAAAGGTTATGAGGTTGATCCTAAGTACCGAGCCAGTGCTGAAAGAGTTAATGAGAAGGATTTCATTGGTATATGGTGAGATTTGTTCAAACAAAGGATACAGAATACAAATAATAAACATTTTTGAAGGAATTCACTGAACAGTACATGATATCAGAACATTGCTGAGCTAATGGTTTCAGATAGTACAAACCACAATAACAAAAAAAAAAGAAAGAAAATAATGAGCAAAACATAAACACATGCACATATATTTCATCAGAGACAAAGACTATTTAACATTTCAAAATTTAACCTACTTTTCCAGAATAAATATTCATCATTATTAACTGTATAAAACACTGTATTAAGTCCGTAACATGTTGATTATTACATAACTTTTAATCATTTTAATAAACTGATTTCATAAAAACGTTACTACAAGCCAAGATGTTCAATTTATTTATTCTCCTGTAAAATGAATCTGTTTGCAGAGAAAATAGAATACATCTTACTTGAGCCCAAGATAGTTTTTCTTTGATTGCTGTATTTTCAGGTTCAACAGTTTGAGCAAACTTAAGATTTTTGACAGTGTATTCATGCCCACAATAAACTCTCTGAAACATATAAAAAGATTCTCAGCAAGTAATATTCTGATTCAAACTTATTCATAGTCAAAATATAAAAGTAATGAAAAACAATAATATACACGATAAAAAGTGTATTAGCATAGCAATCTCACAATGAAATGTAAAGGGAGTACCTAGAACTAAAATATCTCTTTTGTTTCTAATGAGAAGCATGAACTTTCAATGTTTCTGTTTTTATTTGTTAGAAATGAACTATTTATAAGAATAGAGCTAAAGTTTCTTAAAGCTTGTACAAGATACTAAATTAACAAATATCCCTAAAAAATTCTTCAATAAAATATTCCATGCACTTGTCAATTTGAAAATGTAAAAAAACTTCAGATTCTTGACGTGCAACTCCAAACATTACAAAATATTACAAAAATTACTCCCTTGTCTACACTACTCATAAATTTTACTTCTCATCAGGCATTATCAAAACATATTTGAGGCTAAAACAGAGTTTGTATAAATTTCATATAATGACATCACAGTTACAATATCAAAAACAATCAACAAACCTATAACAAATCTTTTTTGTAAGGTGAACAATCTCACCTCATTTTCTGCTTGATGTTTACCTGCTGATTAGCATGCTGTGCAAAGCCACTACTTCCATGATATCACAGACATTGTGTACACATTTAAAAACTTAATCAATTTTATTTGGGTAGTTATTTTGTTAATTTAATTAAATTGTCAATTCTAAACATTTTATTTGAAAAACTTCTAAGAGATGAGTGTAATAACAAGTTTATATTCCATTTATTTCATAGATCTTATTATGTGATTCTGGTTAACAAACAGCATCACATTTGAAGAGATGGCATTAAAAATTGGTGTGACCCTGTCATTAACCAATTCTGGCATAAATTGTTGTTTTCTTAGTGCAAAGCTACACAATAGGCCACCTGCACTCTGTCAACCATGGGGAGTCAAACCCCAAATTTTAGCACTGTAAGTCTACAAACTTACCGTTGACACATTGAGGAACTTCTGGAATAAGACAACTGGTTCTGGAAGTGTTAAGTGAGATGACATAGATGTGTAAGAAGATCAACTAGAGTTAGTATATTTTAACAGTAATCAATATGTTTGCATGTTGAATAAAGGAACTTAGGAAAATGACAAACTGCAAATAATCTTAAGATGAGATATACTTTACCATTGTATACAGCAATGGATTAATTGTTCTTAATGAATATATATAAATTACTTAAACAAAAGTAAAATTTAGAAAGTTAATAAGTATCCTTATAAAAAGTTGATAATAAGCTTAAGGTGAGGTACATAAAGAATGTTATGTGGGCATAGGTTTAGATTTTGGGCTTGGCTTTTTCAATGCTTCTGGTAGAGAAGAAAATGAGTATTCTTCAGTATGTGATACTGTTTTCCAATTTGATTACAAGAGACAATGCCTGTGTTGATGGGAACCATATGTGAGCAATCAAGAGAAATGGAAAGAACTCAGTATGATCAAAGGTAATTAGCACAGATGTCAAGGTCCACTATCCCCATCAAAACCAACCAATGAGAAGGTGATGACATATTTGAAATGTCAGATGCATGACCCAATGGGAACAACATTGTTATGATCCAGCACCAATAGTTTGATGTGTAATTTAAGTTACTATCAATCAGGTTAAAACCAGAGCTAAAACTGACCACCAAAACTTTAGTTTAAAAATTGTAGTAATGAATAGAGAGTGCAACAAGCAGTCCAACAGCAAAGCAAAATTATTGAAAAAATCCAGATAACAGCCTGAGAGTCCAATCCAGCCCAGCCTAGTTATCCTTCCTTCACCAATGTATCAAGTCTCCTCTCCCTCATAGTTAGTTACATTTCCTTATGATGTTTGAAACTTGTAATGATTTGCCATTAGACAATGAGCTTACAGTTTGTAAGTGGTTATTTTGGTTATTTCTAAGCAGTTAACCAAGGGTTTTAGAGTGAAAGATTTATAAAGGACTATAATCATATCAAGAAACTTTAATATAAACAATGTGTGATTTTATATTAACAAGGTCTCAGTATCTATTCCTTCACAGGTTATCAACTCAAGGAAAGTTCATGTGGAATCATCATTGTTACTGACTGCATATTCCTGGTATTTATATAAATGCTATTTGTACCTGTAAATAAGGGCTCATTACAATGATAATGCATAACTTACATTCCTATTTACTTTTACAGAAATGAAAAAAAACTTGCTTACCACTGATGTCATAAAGACCGAAAAAAAGTGGTTAGAAAATTGAAACAGGTGTTTGTTGATATTAACATATACAATTTTGATATTCTTATTCAAAAGTGCTACTACATTTTATAGTTCAATTGATACAAACCTGTTTCAGATCAAAGCATTTCAATTTAAAGCTCTACTAAACAGTCTAACAGAAGTGTCTTCTAAATCATTCACAGCACTAGCAGTGTTTATTCTTGTAGTTTTTGCTACACAGTTTCAGTCACTAAAACAGGTCATTTATGATTTCATAGTATATTTTTTTGTGATTTGATATTCCTTCATCTTTTAGTATTACTCAAAAATTACTTGTATGACATTTTTAGACCTACTGTCCTCAGTCTCATAATTTATTTATCTTAATATAAGTATAGGCAGTGCATACTTTACAGGCATCCAGAGTTCACAACTTAATTGTAATAAATCATGGAGTTTCTTGGACATTCACTGGCTTGACATTTTTGGTATAATAGAACAGAAACATCATGCATAAGTGAAAACATAGTTAACCCAGTTTTGTTTTTATGTTCATTATGACTAAACAGTGATATAAAAATGAACAACACATACAACTTTTGTTGAAACATGCAAACTTAAATTGGTTATTTCATATTATTCCAAATCACCTATATGTAATTTTCCTTTATAACACTTAAATCAAGTTTTACTTAGTTATTTAAATGTCAAAGTTACTATAAATATATATAGTTACAATATATATTTTGTTTGCTTTTCTTTTTTACCAAATCTTTTTTTCATTGAGTCAAAATATTTCATAAAGCATCAAGCTATGTGATGGATACCTTAATAAATATACATCATTTTCTAGCTAAAACATGTTCTAAATGAAAAATCACAAAGATGTTAGTTCAGATTATATAATTATTCAGATGACTATAGCTAAAAAGTAAAATCATTTGACACACGTTTTTACTGTACTCACATATCACAATTTTGAAAGTATTACAGCACTACTAATAATTTACTGTGTTATCTGGTAGTGTTACAGTAATACTACTAACTTACTGTACATCTGATAGTATTACAGCACTATTACTAACTTACTGTGTTAACTGATAGTATTACAGCACTACTAATAATTTACTGTGTTATCTGGTAGTGTTACAGTAATACTACTAACTTACTGTGTTATCTGGTAGTGCTCCTAAAGTCTTGACTAAAGCTTGATACATTTGTTCAGGACTTCCTTCAAAAAACCTTCCACAGCCTCCAACAAACATTGTGTCTCCTAAAGGAAAAGTGGCAAAAATCAGTAATGTATTTTCCTAACTGAAAAGACTAAACCTGGATTGTCACCATTCTCTCTCTCTCTCTCTTGAGAATAATAGTATGAGATACCCAATGGCTTTATTATAAAATCCTTTTTCTAACTGCCGCGACAGTCAACAATTGTACTCGACTACACTCAGCTGAAACTACATGTAGTCTCACAGCAATGAATCATTTAAGAAAAAATATCAGCTAGCTTTTTCTCTTTTAATAATTGTCCACTGGACTTGATATATTCCAATTTTATTATAGAATATTTGTTGCACCTGCTGTGACAATGTTTCACGGAACAGAGGAAAAAGGTTAACTTTTATACTTCTTTGATGCAATTGTTTAAATTATTATTTTTGCTAATGTGTAACAAGTACATCCACATTTGTGAAAAAAGTTTTTTGCCATACTGTATCTGTAGTTCCACTTTTAGTTATAAAGTCAACAACAGCAGTTGCCAATACGTCACAAACAACAGCTGCTGTTACAATATAAGTAATTAAAATTAGCCAAAGTGATGAAGCTGATGCCTTAATGAAGCTTGTGTTTTCAAGATAGTGTTACTTCTTTTAACTATAAGTACAAGTTGCCCTCGGTTGCCTCATGCAATTTTGTTTTTCACCTGATAGAGCATTTATAATAAACAGTTCTCATTTCCACTGCACAAATATATTTTTGATATATTAGTTGAAAATATAACCAATAAAACAGTTAACAGCTAACACAAAGCTGAATATTGACATTGCCTGCATCTTGTCTTTACAGTTTCTGATAAACATGTCACTCTTCCTTGATACTACTCCAATGTTTAGCATATTTTATCACACAAACCTGAATACAACAATATTTATTTCCAATATGCAAGTCTAAAAAATACTGTTTTACCAGCTAATCCTAATTAGAAGATGTTTAATATTTTTTTTATCATAAACTCAATTAGGTAATTTTTAAAACATCTTACAGGACAAGTTCCATGTGACAAATTGTTATACACCCCTGATGTAAGTTACACATCAAGATTAAAATATCTACATGCGTATATTCATTTAATGAAAGAAAAACAAATAAATAAGAACAATTTCCAAGAAATATTTATACAATTTCATTGAGAAGTGGCACTGACTCTTCATATGGTGCATTTCCTAAGTAGACACTTGCAGTGACATTTCTGACTGGTGGACTTCAGGCTTGGCAATCAGCATCTGCTTCAACAGTCAAGTAGTGGGGAGCCTGATCATTGACAAATAAGTTGGCATGATCTGGTTAAAGTCTCCAGTTCAGCTGATATCTCTTTACAGAAATCTCATGGCAGGTGGTGTTCATCAATTTTGTCGGGGACTCTAGGGACCTCACAATGAGCCCAGTAGCAGCCTCAGTCAAATCTCTTATGTCTGATGCATAATCCAACAAGGCATCTTCATCCATGAACTGTGCAGAGATGAAAGCCAAGTCAGCCCCAGGATCTTAAGTGCTGATTTATATTCAGGCACATCCATGAAATATCCAACTAGCTAGCTCTTAGCATATTCACCCTCTATTTTGTTGATAACACACCATGAGTCACTGGCAACATAAACAGAATGATCCACAAGTGGCTGGTTGAATAAAAAATTTGTAGCCATACGGATTAAATTTGATGTTCAAGAAAAAGAGTCATGATTGAAAAAGTAAGTTCAAATTAACTCTGACTGGTTAGAAAACTTAGTCAAAGATTAGGTTGAAGTCATAATGGCCCAGTTGCAACAACACTCAGGCCTCACTAGATCTCACCCATGAACATAATTTAGTTGTGCTCTTTGAGGTTGTCATTACCATGATAATGGTCCACAGCTACCTTTGAACCCAGGCATATTCTTTTTACTAGTGTCTCTTTGTTATACAAAACAGAACCCAGATCCAGCAAAAAAAATAAAAAATGGGGGTGAGACTTAAACAAGTAACCAAGACCTAGGTCATCTACCAGTTAACAACATTAAAACATGAAACTAAAGTATATTATTGTAATTTAATAACATTACAACTTGAAGATAAGGCATATTGCTGTAACAATAGGACTTCAAACTAAACAATATTATTGTAATTTAGCATCAGTACAGCTTTATAATAAAGTATATTATTGTAATTTAATAACATTACATCTTTATAATTTTTTTAAGTCAGAAGAATACTTTACTTTTCTTTTTGTCACATATGTGTATGTATATATCAATAGAAAATAAACATATGAAAATAAAGAAGTTTCCATGAAGCTTAATCAGCTTATTTGTGTAAAACTCCTTAATAACTGTGACCAAAAGTTTCTATATATATTTATAAACATAAATAAACAAAACACAAAAAGACAAAATTGATATAAAAAGTCTATCTCAATCATCATTTTATATTAAAGTATATCTGAAATCAACAACTTATTGAACATAACACAAAAACATATCCTGTAATACTATTGTACTTTTATCACAAACAAGCAATAACATAGATACTGAAAAAGTTACATTAATGATAATATTAATCCTATAAGCATAAAGTGCTGTTCAATGAATATTAATCACTTTATCTATGAACATCAGTTAATAACCAATCTTGTAATTTTTTAAACTCTGAAATTGTCTTTATATTCCATAACTCCCTGGGGAGTTGGTTCATTATATATGGTATTTTATACTCTTTTACTCTTATTCCATAGTTGCTATTGGAATTTCATAATACTTATTTTATTATGTTCTAGTATTATAAATATGATTTTTAGTACTTTAATTTAAACTATAATAGGAATTCAAAATTATTATGTATTTATAAAAGTGCATTTACATAAAATAACTGATTTTTTATAATTTAATTTATTAATGTAAAATTTGCATTAAGTTTTGTCATTTTTATTTACAATTATCATCTTAAACATTCTTTTTCAAATTTTTTTTAAGGTGAATGTTACTTGTTTAACCATATATTGTCAAGTAATAACATGTAACATATTCTGCTAAAGATACATAAGTTATTTTTTTATATTAATTGGTAAAACATTGTCTCCTCCATAACTTTGCTATAATAGGTCTTATTTATTGCAACTAATATTTTTATATTTAGACCAACTGAAAGCATCATCTGTAATTAGCTCTAAGTATGTCTTATTATTAACATTTTCTATATATGTACATTTACAATCCGAATACTGCTTATTACCTACAAATAAATATTTATATTTATTACAACATCTTTGATCATGAATCTATAAAAAAATTTTGTTAATAATATTTGTATATTTTGAGTGAATTATCATAGTTTTTGTTTTATCAGTATTCACATATATTTCATTTATATTAAGCCAATACCTTAATTTATTAAAATCAACCTGTAAAATTTCTTTGCCAACTTCCACATCAACATGAGTTACAGTTAAAGCTGTATCATCTGATACTGATATATTTTACTCTTTACATCTATATTTACAATATCATTAAGATGTAAATTAAATAGTAGGGGACCTAAAATAGAATCTTGTGGAACACCATATTTTAGTCATCAAATCACTTATTATTTCTCCAATTATTGTTATTGCAACCCCATCACTCAAATAATTCATGAATCAGTTATGTAACCTTACCCTTATACCCATCATGTATAGTTTATGCAGCAGTATTTTATGATTTGATGTATCAAAAGCCTTTATTTAAATCAAGAAATAATAAAAGTGCCTTTATATTTTTATCTAACTGTAAATTTCCATCATTTGAAAAGTTTTCTAATAGTTCAGTGGTACTTTTATTTTTAATAAATCCATATTGACACTTGTTTGTAATGTTATTTCTTTCAATAAAATCCAACATACCTTTCCATTATTTTTTTCAATCACAGGTAAAATGGAAATTGGTCTATAATTATTAAAATATTTTTTTCCTGACTTGTAAATAGGTTTTATCATTGATATTTTAAGATCATCAGGTATTTTCCCTTCTTCATAAATTAAATTTAAGAGGCATGTTTTAACCTTTGCTAATACATTAATACATGGTTTTATATATCCTAATTTCATACATTAATTCCTGGTCCATTGTTAATATCAATTAAATTTACTATATTAATAACTTCTTCTTCTGTTATTGAAGGGAAATAAATTGTATTAATCTGTGAGATTACACTCTGAAGATAAATTTTTCTAATTGTGACATAAGTATTATTATTTTCATTATTATTATGGTTACTTTTTAAGTATCTTATATATAAACTCTATTAAAATTATTTACTAAATCTGTAACACTTATATTTGTACTGATAAAATTTTGCTTTATTTTTCTTTCAAGTGATTCATCACTAACATGATTATTTATTAATTCATTAATGCATTTCCAAGTTTCTTTCATTTTACCCTGAATGCCAGAAAATTTTGTCATATAATAATTTTTTGCCTTTCTTGTAAAACATGCTACATTGTAAACTGCTTCATTTGTTTCATTCTTGTAACATTTATACTTATGCCATAATTTATCCTTTTCTCTTACTAACTCCAAACTATCAGAATCTATCCAAGGTTTATGTTGTGTATTCCTCTTTCTTATTTTAATCTCAAATATATTTTTTAATTCAAGTTCATTTAACACACAAACCAGTTTTTTACACATTATCTCAGGAACTTTTAATCTTAAGAACTCTTCCCAATTATAGCTGTTTATATCATTTATAATACTATTTATTCTAATTTTATTAATCACTAAAACATTTTGTATGATCTTTTTCATAGTTTGTTTCACTGTCTTTAAACTGCTTTTTAAATTAACCAAAATCATACTATAATCTGATATTTTTTCCTTGATCACATAACTTTTTACATTTACACATGATCTAAACAAGATCTAACCAACTTTCCACTTCTCCATTTTGATCTTAACATTTATATTTTGTTGAAATCCATTAAAATGTAACAAGTTTGATAGACATTGATCAGATTACTATTTTCATTATTTTTTCATTAATATTGATATTTATATCACCAAGATATACTATATGTTTACAGCTTTTTAATTCATTTAGAAATTTTTCCAAATTTAAAACATAAAGATTAGAACTGTAATTTGGAGGTTTGTAAATTGGAAGTATTAAACCTTTATAATCATTTACCTCAACAGTAAATGATAATATTTCTGCATCTTCTAAACTTAATTTCACTAATTCTATAGATAAATGTTTTTTTATAAAAAATTAAATTTCCTCCTCCTCCTTTACTACTTCTACATTTATAAATATTTTCATAGTCTCCAAATTATAATTTTGGATTTCATGTTATTTTAGAAATGTCTCTGTGATTATTAATATATCTAACAATATCAAAACTTCATCAGCAAGTGTTCAAAAATAATTCCACCTATTGTGAATATTATTATTAATATGTAACAAATTATAAATATCACCTTCAATATAGTTTCAACTTTTTTTACTATTTACATCAGTATATTCACTATTTCTTAGATTAACATCCATAAATTACAACAAATTTTCAAAATTACAATTCAATTTTAATTTTATTACATTCTCAGTTTCTGATTTCCTTACAAACACATTACCATTTTTTCATCCAAATAAATTTATATTCTTTTAATAATGTTCTTGTCTTCCAAATCATTCTTTGTTAGCAGCTGTTAGATTTGCATTTATATAAATACTGCCTACACCTATATTCTGTTGGATTTGACTCTGTTTAACCACTTTGTTCTTATTCTTCAACCATTTCTCTTTATCCAAAATACTTTTGAATTTACATATTATAGGTGCCATTATTTTACTATTATGGACAGATATTCTATGAGCCATTAATAATTCATCTTTTTAATAATCTAGTATTTTAAACTCTTCAACCTCTTTGTGTAGAATATCTTTCAGTTCCTCATTATCTTGTATTATTCTGTACCTCTATATTGCTTCTTCATTCATACTGTTCCAGATCATTAGCTTGAATTAATATTTTTGAAGTTAAATCACTGTTTTGAGTGTTATTAGACTTCAAACTTTCCATATCCATTTTCAATATCTTGATATCTTCTGCATGTTTGCTTTGTATTAAGGATATTTCATCATACTTAACTGACTAAAAGTTTATGGAATCTTTGATTTCATTTATATACATTTTTATTTTATCTAACATATTTAATTTGGAGCATAGTAGGTACCATTGGATTTTGTAAATCATGTTCAGTCACATCCAAATCTATCTCAGTTTTTAGGATCTTCTCTTGATCTCCAATAAAGATTTTAATGAATTCATTTTTTTAGTAACATTTTAATTTATTAGATTTCCATTGTTGCTTGCTGTCAAATTATATTTTCTGTTGTTAAATAAACCAGAATTTTCTGACCGTTTACTAGTATCTCGACAGCAGTAACAGTGGTATGACAATTGTTTGGCATTAGACATACATCTGCATGTCGTCTCTGACAATCCACTACATTTTACTTAGTTTCTATCGACTATTTTTTATTTCTATGTATGATGTTTTCAATAAATAAAACATCTTTTCACCATAAAAAGCATACAATTGTAAACTTAGGCATAAGCATTAACCACGCTAATGTAAACACTTTTCGTTAGCCCTTCAAACACATTTAGTATTCCTTCTTTATATTATAATCAAAAGCATTCTGTTCAGAACTTTTTTTTTCAATTTCAAACGTCTCACAACTATCCATATATACTGAAAAAAACAAAACATAATTCCACAAGAAAGTATTTTACTAAGTATCAGCAGAGAGAGAAAAAACCTCTTCATCTCATAATTTGTCACTACAAACTACACATTAATAATTGCAGTACAATAATGTGCCATCAACAATGAGCAGTGAAATAAATAACCACTAGCAGAATTCAACTTAATGAAGACTTAGCCAAGATTAATATTCACACTGTTACTACCTTATATACCAATCACACTCTCATCCAATCTTAGTTACATACAATCATCACAGCAAATTATATTTACTGTCCTAGAGGACTGCCAATACCAGCATCTGAACTAACAAATTATTGTAATACCACTCACAATTAAGTCCACTAGTTACAGTTAGTACCACAGAAAAATAAAAACAGACAAATCCAATGAAATAAGAACTACTCCATTTTCAGATTCATTGCAGCCTGATTTATATTCTATGTTGACTGAGAGCAGAACTCCTGCTAGCTGTACATGGAGGACTTATGCATGTTCACTTGCACTGAGAATCAAGTATTTCATGGGTGGTCCTGGAGAACATTCACCACTCATATAGATAAGGAGTGTTCCTCAAAAAACATCAGATGACTTCTTCATCAAGGAAATCTGTTTAATAGCTTGTAAAGTAAAGGTCACAATACCCTTTCAAGCCAAGCTTTTGAATTCCTAACCAACACCTCCAGTTGTGCAAACTGATGATATTCTAAGCATTACATCTACAAGCACTAGCCATCCTAACTGTGCAGTAATCAAGCAACTATCAATTTATATCCTATAGATATAATGAGTGACACTCTGCTCAATAACTTGGAAAGTAAGGGTTGCAAAGCCATTTGGATCCCATCAATCGTATGACAACTGTCCTAATTTACTGGTAATCGAGTGATATTCCCTATTTTTTATCATCATGATAGTAACATCCAATAGCTTAGAAAATAAGGGCCACAAAGGGCCTTTTAGTCATTAGTTTGTTAACCAAATTACCATCCTAGGTGGAATGTTATTTCAGCCACGAGGTCAACCTCAGCATCTTGGTCAATCATTGCAGCTGTGAATGAAGATGCTTCTACTTATCCAAATAGTTGTTTGAATCAAATAATGAACCATAGAGGTTCAGCATCAAGCATAGTACTGTCTGTCCCTGGATCTGTTTATTCCAGACAGTGGCCAATTTAATATGTTTATGAAAGTAGGACCCCCTGTACTTAGATGAGTGTTAAATCAGCATTCTAAGTTTATGGAATAGTGAGATACTAGTTGCAAGTCACCAAATGGTTCAGGCTCCTATGATCTGTGGTAGCCCTGGCAGTAAACCTCCCAGCTCAGAGAAGTTTAAAGCTGCCCCACAGATCACCATCTTAACTTGTTTGAATTTGCCATTTCATCTACCAGCAAAATGGCTCCTGTTGAGGAATGTCATCCACCAATGGCAGTGGCATCCATGGTCTTTCGTAAAAAAGAAGTAGAATTGACCTGGGTCAGGGTGGCTCTATGCTGGCTGTCAGTCACCTATAGGTCCTATAGAGATGGCCCTGATCAGTCTTTTTAAATCACCAGACTTCACACCACCACAATTATCTTCAGTTGAATAAGTCACCCATGAAGTGAAGTAAAGCCAGACATCAATAGAAGGGAATAACATTCAAAGGCACTCAGGGTGCTCCAGATAGTAACAGTTCTTTGCAGGCTGTGGTTACAGAGAGATGTTCATCAGAGACCTTCATAAGATCGTCAAATGTCCAACGCCTATAAGATGACTTTTCCTAAACTTGATGGTTCTTTCTGACAACCACTTACCTCAGTAGCTGTTTCTTCCTCCTGGCCATAAATCCTTCACCAAAAAATGCCATTCTCTTGCAAATTTCTAACTCAATGTTATAAGAGCCTGAAGAGCACAGACAAGATACTTGTCCAAATAAAACTGACCTCTGCAATAACAACATACATGGTCATGGCACCAAAGTTTCTCTTTCCTACCTACTCCGTTGTATTCTCAGATGACCCAGAGTTCACTCAGAATAAGCTGCAAAAAGTGTAAAAATAGGAGGTTTTGTTAGATACTGTATTATAAAGCAGTGCTTTGATTTTCTCTGCCTTTGACCGAGTTTTTACACAAAATAAAGAGGTGTGATACAGGGTTTTAAACAATTACATTCCTTATTATAACAAAAACAATAAAAATCAAGATAAATGCTTCAACAAGTGCTTATGTGGGACAGGAGAGGAAGAGATAGAGAGCTTTATTTATGCTCTCTTATCGATGCAACTCTAGCTCTTTGATGCTAAAGTCAAAGCTGTGATAAACACAATCTGCAATTCTGAAGAACCTCTATCTCAAACACACTCAATCTGTATTGACATCTCTCTCTCTCACTCTCTATAAGCCTAAATAACTATGCTAATCTCAAAATATGAATCTGTAAAAGGAATTTACAAAAAAGTAATGTATGTCTTAAAGAAAAAGAAAGAAAATGTAATATATACAAAGATCTCTCTCCCCAGGTGCATGTGCCACTCACATGACTAAGGGCCACTGTCATGTCCAAGGATTCACTGCAAGAACACAGTGCTCTTTTCCAAAGTAAAACATATAACAACCTATGTAAGTCAAAATACCATAAATTACCAAGGCAAGAGAAACTTATTATTTCCTATGATCGATGTTCTACATTAAGAATAAACCCTAAAACACTGAAAATTTTTAAAATTATCTAGCAGCCAAAGTGGTAGAAAATGCATGCATATCGCATTTATTTCATCTTCTGTAACATGGAAAAATTTATTTTCATGACCTACACTCAATTCCCCAACTTTTCCTGATTTTCAAGGTTTGCAGAAATTCTATTTTCCACAGCCTATATAAATAAATTATGTATTCCAAGCTAGGTTCAATGCTCTAATTTTTTTAATCATTACTAGAATTAAACTTAACTTTTGACCTTAAAATTATCTATTTGTTGAGCATACACAATGATTTAGATGACAAACCTGATGGATCTCCTAACTTGAAGACATAAAACATAATAAAAACTTACCGAAGTTCATACTAGAAGTACAGTACTTTGTATTTACTTCAGGATTCATAATCAGTATTGTTGTTTTTAATCACTGTTTTAAAAGGAATTTTTATAAAACAATAATATAAACAACACTTACCAGTGAAAACGAGTGGGTTTTCATCTTTTTCTCCAGTAACAAAATAGCATATATGTCCACTGGTGTGACATGGTGTGAAGAGACAGCGAATTTGAAGTGATCCCACCTAATCAAAATGGTGGGAAGTACTGTTTCCATTAAAAATTTATGTTTCTACAAAGTATGTTTAATTATACTTTGAAGGTTTAATATATGTATTCTTTCTAAGTTAATGCAATATATCCCAAAACAAAAAACATCCCTGAAAGTATAAATTATAAGCAGTTTAAAACTTAATGTTGTGGTATTTTCAAGTGCATTGATTTCTGTTGGAATAACTGGATAGATTCCACAGGGTAATGGGAGGTTTCAGTTGATAATGTTATACAGAATTGAAATGTATTCAAAGGACAAAGACTTTACTGAAGATTCCAGAGATTTTTGCAAAGAAGTAGCAGCATATGTTCCAGAATGAGAAAAAACATAGCATAATATACATGAAGCAATTATGCTGCTATTTCCAGGACATGTGTGCTACCTACTTCACTGTTGGTCATTCCCAATGAAAAATAAGGAAGGTTAAAATCTGAAAGTATCACCTGACCTGTCAGTGGAAAGGACTGCTGTCTACTTTTACAACTTACAATTTTCACCTTTACAGAAGTCTTTCTCACAACAAAATACTCTCATAAATGATCCAGGACAATATGAGAGTAGGTCAAAAGAAACTAAGCAACTTTCTTAACAATGTTCTATACATAAAACTAAAGGTACTTGTATGTACAAAATTTGTGAAAAATTTTATGGGAACTTTAATTTAATAAATAGGGTAGAAAACATCCAGTATGTCTGCCTATTACAATGCTAAAATAGTTCAATAACTGACAACAACCTAGTGAACTCTTCTGCATCTGTACATCTGCAGAACAAAAACTAAATTTTATATTACCATTGTCATTATAAACATTTGCTATTGTGAATGTGTAAATTAATCCTTATGATGTCAATGAACAACATAAGAGACTTAATTCCACATCAACAACTTTTTAAATCCATTAAATTGATAACAGATACAATTCTAAGAAAAATAATCACTTTAATAAAAGGATGATGCAAAACAATCTTCAATTACCTTATTTTCATTTATGCAACAATAAGACAAAATTCCCAGAGGAAAACTATAGAATGTTCCACTTTCTCATCCTATTCACTTTTCTAGGTAATTTCAATCTATGTTATCATTATACGTATATGTGTTTGAAGAACACAGAAGCTGAGCAAAATTAACATAAAACTACCTGCAAAAAATAACATATATGCAAAAACTTACTCAGCTAATACTGAATGACATAACAGAAAAATTGTTTTAAAATAAATTCTTTACCTTGAATTCATCTCCATGTTTAATAGAATGAGTTAAAGCACCAATTCTGCTATCTCCACCAAAGACTGCCAGTCCTGGAACTGCCTGCACAAGCTTCTCATTCCCTCCAGCATGGTCCCTTTAAAAATCCTCTTGACAATTAAAAGAGCAATAAAGATATTATATCTTCTTTTTCAGTGTATATATTGAAACATCCATGTTGTCTCTGATACTTATCAAGATATATTTTTTAGTACTTTAGTAATTTCACACAAAACATAATACATACAAAAGTCCTAAGACTAAATTGTGATTATGTACAAGTATATAAATATTTACAACACATACAATATATAAAACTTTTCAATACTACTGAATCTCTCAGGGTTGCAGTTGTTTAGTGTTTAGATGTGAATGGTAGTATGGTTTCTGTTCTGAGGCCTTAAATCAATGTTTAATTTGTGTTTCTCTCAAAAGTATAGTGTGGTATTGCCAAAGCTTCAGTTTTTGGATGTTTATCTATGAAGTCATCTGCTCTGAGAGGATGGGCATGCTGCAATACAGTTTTGCTGTGCTTTTTTTTATCAGTTTTTGTCGGTGACATAACTAAGATTTTAGTACAGAAAGTGAGAGCAACCTACAAAGTAAAATTGACCCCATCCTCAACAAAATGTATTGTAGTACCTGGCATAGTGAATTAGCTTCTGAACAAGTTTCTCGAAACTAGGTATATCCTGGCAAATATAAGTCATTTCAGTCAACTTTTACAAACCTAACCCCATACACTACTGAGGCTCACGTGCACTCATGTTACCACATCAAATAAAACTGACCTTTGGTTTGTACAAAGAAACTTGTCTTGACTGTGCTTTAGTAGACTAGTTATTTGTAAAATATAGTCACATTTCAATTATTATACATTATATATGTATATAGATTATTGCTATTTTGAAATAAGTTCTTAAACTTATTTTTCCTAAAACATAGAACAGTAAATAAAGAAGTAAAGCAAACAATTATCTATTCTAGTTACAACTTTGTACTCGGTTGCTGCTTGACATAGGTTGCTAAGCCTTTAAAAAATTTGCACGTGGAGGATATGAAACAAAATAATTTATATATATATCTACATTTGAATAACTAAGAAATCATAAATTATTACATTGACACCATAGAATTCCATTATAATATGAAATTTCGAGCAGACTAAAGGGACACCATACCTCGTTGAAATATTGGTTGATAAGAAGGAAATGGCACCAAACCCATTAAAATGGCTGAGAAAGCCACTAGGGGACATTCTGAGCTTCCGATTGGTTATTCATATCACATATAGAAGTAAGTGTATATAAGGGAGCATTTCCATAAATGGAAAGAGGTGGGTGGAGTGCCACTGATTTATTACATGAGCAATATCTTAGCAAACTGGGCCATTATCTAGATATGCTACTGATGTTAATGTTATTTGTACAGAACAGACATTCAGATTTTAATGAAGTTCAGAATGTGACTCAATTCATCTCTGATCAACAATGGAAAAAAGGAAACTTAAAAAAAAATTAATGTAAAAAGCTCTTAATCTTCTCATGTAAATGTAGATGTAAATCTCCACAAGAATACCACTATAACAATAAATCAAGTTTCTTTTTACTTACAGCAGATCCAATCTATAAAAACAACAAAACCTAACAGATGACATAACACACAGACACTATACAAAATGTGGTTGTCTAAAAAGACTTATTTTAAATTTACACTACAACTGTGCAACATTATAATCATACTGACTATTTGAAAGCCTTGTTGCATACCTAGAAATTTACACCTCTTACCACAAGGTAGATGCAGTTCACAGATGAATCACTGTCAGTACAATCTAATAATTTACCCTTAAAATGGAACTTATCTTCTTAATCAAACTGGGAATCTATGATACATAAAATTTTTCGATACCTTGTTTTCTGTTCACTGTTATTCACAAAAATGTTGTGTTACTTAGATTTAATTTTTCTTTCATTTTGTGGCAAACCTACAGTTGTCTTTACCTGTGGCATGTGTTCTGCACTAGACAACCACTGCCATTACTCTAGCTTAGATTGAATAGTAATAACACAAATTAATTAAATGAGATGACAAATTGAATTTACAATTTGAGGACTGTTTATTTTATCTTTTTTTAAACATTATCTAAGACACAAACACAACAATGACTGGATTTATGACACAAATGTATCTGAGCAGTGATGATACTATATAACTATAAAACTGTCATAACCACGCTGTCCATAAACTCCTAATGCAAATATACCATAAAAGAGAATACTTTCCCACATACCAATTATTAGGTTATGCACAATCAGTCTCAGTATATGCATGTCAATGTTTGTTCCTCTTCACATACTAAGATATAATAAACCAATTACAAGTCAGTATTAAACAAAATATTTATTTCACATGACATATGAATGACTAAAATGAAACTTAGAATTTCACAAATATTACGGATTTAAGCATAGAAATGTTTCTGGTAGGTATGAGTGAAAAGTGAGTAAAATGTGATGTAGTGTACATACATTTGTTATGTAACACTAGTCTTGCATCCATTGTGAATGTAAAGAGGCTGAAGGGCACAGTACTAGTTTCTCATAGCTGGCTTTTGGTATAAAATACTATTCACTGTTTAAAAATCATGGCAAGAGTAACAATAATTTCATTAAGTTGTTTGAACTGTGGTTTTCATTAAAATGTTTTAACTGAAAGTTAGTGTTTATAACATAACAAAAAAAAGTGACTTGATTAAACAAGTTTGTATCCTAATTTATTATATTATGAATTGAGATTATATTAATGACATTTAAAAAGATGTATTTGCAACTGCATTTTTCTATATTGAAAATAAAATTTTTAAATCACCTATCTACATTCAATAAATTCACATCTTTCTAAGGTTTCTTACCAGTGGTGATGGGTTGTTAATACAGTGGTAAGTTTCACACCTTCTTTATTCACTGCTGCTGTAACCTAAAAAATAATTATTAAAAAGTAAGTTTTTGGTAATGCTCAATTCTACTCAAAGAATTTATGAAACAAAAATAATATGAACAAGATCCTTTGAAACACATTAGGTCTAGGTCATAACTAGCATTATGGACAGAATGTTTTATGTACATTGATAGGAGTTGGTCAAAAAATTAGAAACAGCCAGTGGAATCAGCTTCTTAACATGTGGTTCCACATTTGGTTGTTAGAAATACTTCAATCTTTTAAAGTAGGACATCTGTAAGTTCTTGAAAGGTACACAGATGAATTAGGTACCATTCCTTAAGGACACAGTTTGACATAAAGCATGGTGGTCTCACTCATTCATGATGATTTTCCAACTACTGTTACATAGACATGATGAGACTCATTGGATAATTGTCATTCTATAATGACTCTGAAGTTATATAACTTAGATCATGAAAGTATCTGTTAGTTAAGCTGCTAAACTGTCCTCTTTGAAAGTCAGTTATACCACACTTCCATGCTGTTTAAAAGGTCATTGGAATACCAAATTAATCAGTCAGCTGAGGATTAGTTCATTTAACATTTGAGCAGGTCTGTTAAGAAGTTAGAGGAGGCCCAGGAAATTCGTACAACACAAGGGCCATATGTATATATATACAAGTGAATTTCTTATAGCATGTTTCTTATAATATATATATATATATATATATATATATTATAGATATATATTTAAATAACATATTTATTATATATATATATTTTATATATATATTTAAATAACATA